TTTACAGCCGCCGGTATCTGCGCCCTGACTACAAACCCCAGAATGCACCGGGGTCAATACATGGGAATTTTTACAAACCCGCGATTTGCTAATTAGTGGAGCGAGTTGGGAATTAATCCAGTTGTTCCGCAGGATTTGCGTTAAGACTCCTCACTGAAACAACATATTGTAGGTTATTACCTGCCCTTTGTATATATACTTGTAATAGAATTATATAGCTATCGAGCTTATGTCATGGATCATTTTTATTTTGCCTGGTTTTGTTTTTCTGGGTTAGTTTTCTAGTATTTTCTAGTGATATCATTCTGCTGTAAGCCAGTTTCTAAGACTTGAGTTTAATGTTCTTAAAAACTTTCCCTTGTTATCTCTAAACCCCTGACTGACAGATATATGCAGCTATATACCCCAATTATATATTTTGTTTAAAATTCCAGATCAGACATATGAAATAAAAACTGATAACAAAATGCATCTGGCAACCCAGAAGATTATTTCAATTGTTTACCACTGAGGAAAATTAATGATCAAAGAAGCCCACAGACTGGGATGACTGAATACGTATTTATGATCTAAATGACCAAATTGATGATCTAAATCAGACTTGAGGTAAATTGCTGTCCTTATTCTGTGTTAGTGGATTATTTAATTTCCTTTTAACATAGTTGAAATGTGCACTGGTTTTGCTTTCTTAATTTTCCTGTGTCTTTTAAAGGATTGGAATGAACCTGAACCCATGGTGGAACTAGTGCTGAGGACCTGAATTTTGGGATGACGAATAATAATAATCCAGAATGGTATTATACTGTAGTCGAGATTCCTGTATATGGTTTATAAATAATTTCCTTCTCCTAGCTAGGGGAACACCTTGAGCCCCTTTCTTTGCCTGACTGTATTCCAGACACGTAGTTCATCCTAGGGGAAATTAACAGATGCTGAGGTTTATGCAAAAGATTTTGGAGATGGAAATTGGAGAGAAATGAACATGAAATTCTCATGGGTGTTTTCATTCTTTATTTCTACATTTTAAAGATTCCTTGTCTAATCTGACTGAGAAACTATTGGTGTATACAAATGAAATTAGAATCCTGAAAAGGAAATGAATGTAAGGTAGGTTGAGGAATAGCAGGAGGAAGGACTACGGAGGAAAAATACTTTGAGCAATAGCTTAAGAAAAACATTAGAAAGTAAAGACGACTCAGGAATGGACAGAGCAATGGGGAATTATATTTATAATGTATAATATAGAGAGGAACCCTGTCAGGGTATGCAAGGAAGGGTCAGAGCATGGGCCAGGGGGCCCAGCAATGGGACAAGAAGCAGCAGGCAGAAACATGACAAGAAGTTCCACCTGAATATGAGAAAAACTTTGCTGTGCAATGACAGAGCACTGGAACAGACTGCAATCCCTCACTGGAGATATTCCAAAACTGTGTGGACACAATCCTGTGCCATGTGCTGTGGGATGGAACTCGGCGGCCCAATATGCTCCATTTAAACCTCGCTGGTTTTGGGGTGATGTGGCTGCGCAGGGAGCTGGGCAGGGTGGTGAAGTCCCTGTCCCTGGAGGTGTTTAAGGAGCGACAGTGATCTGTTGGATAAGGCGGTGATCTGTCAAAGG